ATCTAATAATATATTTGAAGACTTTACGCAACCATGTATTACATTTGGTGCCATCCCTTCGTGCAAATACTCAAGCCCTCTTGCTGCTCCTGCTGCAATCCTCAAACGTCGGCTCCAATCCAAAAGAGAAGCTCCATCGTTATTTTCATGCAAGTAAAATTCTAAACTCACCAAACCAACAAACTCCGTTACTATAATTCTCTCTCCGGGCGCCTGTGAAAACCCTAAAATCGGGACTATATTAGGGTGCCGTGCTTGAGAGATTGTTTTGATAATCGACGAGAAACCAAATCCGGCATTGCTTAGAACAAGCCGTGGATGTGTTCTCTTCACGGCAACTAGGTCACCTGTCGATAACACAGCTGAATAAACGGTTCCAAGGCGCCCGTGGCCGATGATTCTTCGATTGTTGAAGCCATCAGTGGCGGCATCGATATCTGTTAATGGATAAGCGGAGGCAGAAAGCCTGATGGGAAGTGATTCTTCGGACTCTACAGGTTTTTTTCTGCAAATGAAAAAGAGAACAATACCTAGAATGACGATGAAGATTGAAATAATACCCAATAAAAAATCATAAACAATATGCTCAAGAAGGTTCATGTTTGAGAGGTGATTAATTTGGGTAAAATTAATGACTTTCTGTAAAGAGAAGAATATATATGGAACAAGAGTTGTTAGTCTACAAAGTTGAAGAGTGTTCAAATGGGAAGATTTTGAAGACTTTTATGAGGATTGGAAAATTAAAGTAAGAGAATAAAGATTAGAGTATCTAATAAGGCTTTGAAAACTAAGACATATTTGGTGAGAAAGTTGAATTCTATACTTCAGTTTAGTTATGTTGCGATTCCTGGTTGGCTGCCTCCAGTTGTATTTTTTTACAAAATGGGGTTCGTAATTGTATAATGTGATGTGACAAGTTATATATTAGCTATAGAGATAAATCCCAAATGGAAAGATGCCGAATGGGAATCCATTTTAATCAAATATTATTTTGCTTTGTCATGCTTAGGTAGATGATCTTAAAACTTGGCACAGTTTGAAGTTGAACAAGATTTAATTAACTCATTGACGGAAGTTTTTTCACCATCTATCAGATTTTCAAATTAATATTTTAAGTGAGTTTATCTAACAATATTACAAGGGATAAGGATAATTTTTATTAATCAAAAAATCTTCTAGAGGGTAACAAAATATGTACCATGTGTTGATGCTTGATTTTGACATCAACTATTCGCATGTGAGAAATGCTAAATGGGCTTAGAAGTCACACATGGTTATGAAAGTATTTAGTTGAATTAAGGGTGAAGAACAATGTTTAAAGTGGTTCATATGCTCACAAGGCGAATCCTACACCAACTGATATTGTATTAATGAGTAAAGTCAGGTCGCGTTCAGCGAGCTGAGTTACAACTTAGAGAATACGAGAGAGAGAGAGAGAGAGAGAGAGAGAGAGAGAGAGAGAGAGAGAGTCAATCCCACAAATGAGAGAGAATGTCTCTATTTATAGTGGGATAAATTAAGGTAATAATTACTAAATCTGCAAGCGGGGTGGGTATCGTGCAAATCCCTCCATGCGTCTCATTGCTCACCTGCCCGAGTGATTTCCTTGACTTATGCAGGGATTGGACACGTGGACGGTTTCCAGCCATTCGCCAACCTGGCGTTCACCCACTATACTGGCAAGAGTATGCCACTCACGTCATCAAGCGACGTGGCCGCATTTGAGCGGTCGTGGAACCTTCTTAAGTTCTGACCACCCCGTGCTGAAAAGACTCTGCATCAGCCCTACTTTTTCAGACATAACAGAAGTCCTCTAGTTTTTAAGGTTTGAGAATCGAACCTTGAGAACTTCACAATTATGTCTTGATTTGATATGTTCCGAATGACACCCGATCGATCCGACCTGGCTACAAAGAGGTCTCAAGACATTTTTATATGGGCGACTTGAAGTGGTCTCCTTCCATAAGGTCTACGACCTGGACCAGACCTTTTCAGTGCCGTATTGATGCGCCTTTTATCCTAACCGAGGCTCGCGACCTAGTTATACTTAGCGTATTTTGGCTGAAGGCAAGGAGTCATATCGTTTCGCAATTGACAGTCACATCACTTCGCAACTAACATGCGATGAAGAGTGTTTTATCTAACGACCTCTTCAGATGTTATCCGTTGCGCTTTGGCAGCTAATCCATTAATAAAATACCTTTTACTTTGACAAACGTGTCATATGCGCAATCAGTGCTAGCCACGCGCATTAAATGTAAGTCATGCTGAAACAACATTCCTTATCAAAGCATTAAATGTGGATGAGAGTGCATTTAATGTGGAAGAGGGAAACGAGTCGTCGTTCGATTATTTCAACAGAGGGAAGTGACGATTTGATTTCTTGAAGCGTGACGGTTACTCCTTTCCGTTGATTGACGACACATGGTCACGATCAACAGTGAGAGATGATTTCCGTCCAAACGTCACTTGGCTTCGGGAAAACCAATCACCACTTCCTTCACTATAATCCCAGGCTCTCCTCAAGCAATGTCACAACACTCACTTTTTCAGAAAGAGCAAGAAGCTTCCGTGAGACTAGATTTTCCATCTTTCAGATTGGTGCGCACTTGAGGTTCACATCAGGAAGTTCAATCTCCACACCCAAGAGGTAAGGATGATTATTTCATTACTTTCCTTTTTATGTTTTGACGATAACCATGCGATAACGATGGCATTTGCGGGTGGTTGATTGAAGAATAGGTTTTCCTTTAGGGTTTGAGTCTTTGCGGTGGTCCCCAAGGATTCTTAGGGTTTCTCTAGGGTTTAAGGAAGACAATGTTTATCTTTTCTTCCATGTCATCGTACAAAACTTTGTACGACGACTGAGTAATTCCTGCATCTCGCTCTTTTTCAAACCGCAGAAGAAATGGACCCTTCAGCGACCAGAATAGACGAAGGAACGAGCTCGCCAGTGTAGGATGCCCCAGCGGGTCCCTCACAGGAAATCTTATCAATAGCCACAGGAGAGGAAATTCAAAAAGCGATAGACCAATACGCAATTAGCATAGATGTCTACTAGCACAGGACGTATACAGCTTAGAGTCCGCTAGAAGGAATGGCTATGATCTCCGAGAATATATTCAAATGTGGAGCACTTATTCCCTTCCATCCTTTCATAAGGTCGATCCTCGATCACCTCGGGGTCGCACTGTTATAGCTGACACCAAATACGTATATGATAGTTGTGGCTATGTATATCACATGCGGCGAGAACGGTCTGGACGAGCTGACTGTACTAGAGCTCGACTGTTCGTATTACCTAAAGAAGAGCAAAGACAATGACTCATTTTACTTGTCGAAGCAATCTATGATCGAGGGAAGAATACACAGTTACCTAAGTAATGTCGGGGCGTATGAGACAAAATTTTTCCTTTTCCATTATGATGGCATTTGCCATTTTAGAGAGCCGAGTAGGTCTTCCTTTCTTTTACTTGGCGAATTTTCTTTCTTTTAATATTTGCTAACGAACTTTTCCATTTCTTCGCAATAAACAAGACGACCAAGTTATCGGCTCTCGTTGACTTCAACAAAATAACCGCCTTCGGTCTTCTGCCCGAACAAAGTCGCGACACGAGGCTGCTCATGACAACCGCCAACCTACGAAAATATGACTTTTTCAGCCCCGAAGCGACCTTGGAATCTTCATCGAGTAAGTGTTTGTAACCTTAGCCAACCTTATTGTTTGCATGCAGCGAACTGGTTTGCTAACGATATTCGCATGCAGCGACCATACCACCCAAAGTGCCCAAGTCGCTAAGAGCCAGGGAGTTCACCTTTCCTCAGGTCGATGCCACAGGGCCAACCAGGACGGCCCCCAGCGGTCCCCTCGTCGGAGGAACGCCAACGAGGACGTGGGCTTGACCAGCGGATGCTTCCTAGCCTACGGATGCTCGTCCCAAGCAAAAGACTGTGGCCTAGAAATCCAAGAAGAGGAAGCAACTTCGGGTTGAGGAGTTAGAGTCCGAGCTGGAGGGCTTGAGCATTCAGTCCAGGAGGTCATAACCTTACCAGGCCTTCCACTCGGGAGGGCCCCCCAGGGGCATGACCGGCATTACAATTACCCCTGAGGGTCCGCACAAGAGGCAAGGGGAGGTCGCGACTCTTGGGAGGAGAGTGGGCAAGGAACCAGCGGGTGAGACGCTACTTAGCGCAGGCACCAGCACGCCCGTGTTGGACTCTATAGGGCAACTCCCAGAGTATTTGTAGCCGGTGATGTTCACCCTACTGGAAGGTCAGGTCACAGAGGCTTTTGAGCAGTTCGTGGCCCCTAACCCCGTGAACCTGATGACCATGGCGTTTAAGTTGCAAAGCCAGGTAAAAGGGTTCATCCTCGTCGAGGATTTCCCTTACTTTTTTAATGAAAAAGAATTTAACCCCCTATTCCCTTTGCTATGCAGTCCCTGCTCGCCATGCACTTGGCTCAGTAGAAGACTCAACTGGGAGCTGCTGAGGGGCTAGTCGAGCTAAGAGAAGAGAGTGTGCGGCTAAAACGAGACTTGGAGGCTACATAGGCACAGATGAACCTATCCACAGTTCAGACTAACCAATATCTATCGGAGAGGAACGCTGCATTCCACACGGGGGATTTCCAGAAGGCCGAGCTGGAGATGAGGGGAGATGAGGTTAAAGAGCTCCAAAGGACAGTGGTCAGACTCACCAAGGAGGCTAGCGAGAAAGAGCTAGAGTTACGAGCGAACTCCGAACGGGCCTTACGAGCAGAACAGGACACGATACAACTGTGGGAAACCTACGAGAAGTAGAAGTGGACACTTGAAGCAGAACTCCAATTGTCCTAAGGACGTGTCGCTTTGTTAACTGAAGAGATAAAGCGGCAAGAGCTAGAAATTGGGAGGAGAGCTGCCGACTGGTCGATCCAATCCATTTACGCCCTACGACCAAAGAATCTGGACATAGACCTCACCGACCTCCCTGATGACTACCAGAGGATCCTCGCTTCCATGGCGCAGGCCGATGACGAGGAGGAAGGTCAAGGGCCTAATCCGGGGGATGAGCATCCGGAGGAGTATGTTCTGGAGGAACCAACGACCTAGGGATACTGAGGTCGCACCTTCGGGGCCTGGGGACGAAGGCTAGTGATGGCTTCTGCTTCTGCTTGTTATAACTGTTCCTATGTCGCAAATTTGTATTTGCTTTTTTTTTTTTTTTTACAATAAATAAAATGATTATTTCCTTAATCATTTGTGAGTACTTATAATTTTTCGTACCTCACAAACATTACATGTGGACACAAGGTCGCTTTTCTAACTATTTGCAATAGCATTTGTACAAATGATATACACGAACAGAAAGGCAGACATGCGAGAAACAATATTACATAAGAGCTTATCTTATTTACAAGGCTTAAAAAGAGTAATTCTTTACAAAAAAAAAAAAATAGGAAATGAGTTCGAAAATTACTAATGATAAGGGCGAAGATGTTCAACATTCCAAGCTCGCGGTACTTCAAAACCGTTTAGTCTTTTAAGGTGATAAGTCCCCGATCTTATCACTTTAGCGATGCAGTATGGCCTTTCTCAATTTGGCCCTAATACTCTCACACTTAGTTCTCTTGTACCAAGAAAGACTTCTTTCAGAACAAGGTCGCCGACCTGAAAGTCTTTTCTTCTAACCTTAGACTCGAAGAACCTTTTCGCGCGTTGTTGGTAGGAAGCTATCCTCAGCTGGGCCTTGCTGCGATGTTCTTCAACTAAATCCAGACTTACACGCATAAGCGTTTCATTGTCTGTTTCATTGAACAGGTCTCTCCGAAGTGAACCAGTTCCTACTTCCACTGGGATTATTGCCTCGTAGCCATACGCTAGCGAGAAAGGTGTTTCCAAAATAGAGGTTCTCAGAGTTGTCTTGTATGCCCATAGGACTTTTGGGAGGTCATCGACTCAATTACCCTTGGTAGGGTCAAGTTTGGCTTTCAAAGTATGATTGATGGTCTTGTTGACAGCTTCAACCTGGCCATTTGCTTGCGGTCTTGCGACTGAGGTGAACTTTTTATGGATTCCCAGCTCATCGCAAAACTGCTTGAATTCCTCGTTATCAAATTGTTTTTTATTATCAGAGATGAGGGTATGAGGAATTCCCTAGCGGCACACTATGGTTTTGAAGACGAAGTCCTTGAGCTTTTTAGTAGTGATCGCAGCCAAGGGTTCGGCCTCGGCCGACTTGGTGAAGTAATCCACTGCGACCACCACATACTTGACCCTTCCCCTACCAACTGGCATGGGTCCAATAAGATCGATTCCCCACATGGAGAATGGCCAGAGGCTAGTCATGGTTATCAGCTGGTGAGAAGGAGCTCACGGTATGTTCGCAAACCGTTGGCACTTGTCACACTTTTTCACAAAGTTGAAGGTATCCTCTTGGAGTAGGGACCAGTAATACCCTTGACGAACAACTTTGTTAGTGAGGGATCGCATGGCAGTGTGATTACCGCAGATCCCTTCATGTATCTCCCTTATAATATAGTATGTTTTCTCATCGGTTACACATCGGAGGAGAGGGACGTTAAACCCTCGCTTGTACAATTGATCTCCTATAAGTGTGTAACGAGCAACTCTAGTTCGCATAGTTCTCACCTCAACCTTGTCATTGGGCAAGGTCTCATCTCGGAGATACTGAATAATTGGGGCCATCCAGGAAACTGACTCTGTCACATTCATGGCCTGTTTAGGCTAGCTGATACTAGGGATCTCAATAAACCAAACAGGAATATTTTCTGGCATGTCTAAGTCCAACGATGAGGCTATCTTTGCCAAGGCATCCACGACAGAATTACTGTCTCTAGGGATCTGTGTGATCGTGAAATGCTTGAATGGCTCGAGCACGACTATAGCTTTCTTCAGATAAATGATCATGTTTTCTTCCTTGGCCTGATATTTCCCCAAGATCCAGTTAACAACCAGCATGAGTCGCTATGGATGCTGATCACGGTTGATCTCATTTCTTTTGCCAACCGTAGACCAACAAGCAAAACTTCATACTCAACCTCGTTGTTGGTCGCTTTGAAACCAAATCGAAGAATGCCGTGGACGCGAGTCCCTTCAGGACTAAGGAGGAGGAGGCCTGCCCCAGCCCTTTTCCTGTTCGAGGATCCATTGACGTAGAGGCGACTTCGCTGGCATGTTGCTCGGATTCCTTAACCGGTTGATATGAGAATTCCGAAATGAAATCGGCAACAACCTGCCCTTTAATGGTTACTTTTGGTATGTACTACAGATCGAACTGACTTAGTTCCATAGCCCACTTGAGCAACTTACCTGAAGCCTCTGGTTTCTAGAGGACTTGCTTAAGTAGATAGTTGGTTAATACATGGATTGTATGGGCGTGGAAATAAGGTCGTAACTTCCTAGAGGTGATCAGCAGGGCATAAGCTAATCGCTCCATTTTTGGATATCGCATTTCGACATCTAGTAGACACCTGCTCGTGTAATATACTGGCCACTGGACCATGTCTTATTCCCGAATTAGAGTTGCACTGACCGTATACTGAGAGACGGATAGATACAGAAGAAGAATTTCCTAAGGAAGAGGCTTGGACAGAAGAGGTGGCTTTCCGAGGTGCTCTTTAATGCTTTGGAATGTTTGTTCACACTTAAGAGTCCATTCAAACTTCTTGTTGGCCTTGAGTATATTAAAGAATGGTAAGCAGCGATCTGTTGTCTTTGATATGAAGCGACTGAGTGCCGTTATTCGCCCATTGAACTCTGAACCTGTTTTCGGTTGGTCGGGCTTTTCATATCAAGGAGAGCTTGGATATTTTCGGGGTTGATTTCTATTCCCTTCTTGTTAACCATATATTCCAAGAATTTTCCTGAGGATACTCCGAATGAACACTTGAGAGGATTGAGCTTCATTCTATACCTTCGGAGTATACCAACATCGCAGTAAGATGCATTATGTGATCTGAAGCGACATGCGATTTGACCAATATGTCATCAACATAGACTTCCATTGATTTCCCGATCTGTTCAGAAAACATTTGGTTAACCAGTCGCTGGTAAGTCGCCCCATAACCTTGTAGCAATACAGCCCCCGATCTGTCACAAAGGAAGTATGTTCTTAGTCCAGTACATACATCAGAATCTGATTGTTTCCTGAGTAGACGTCCATAAAACTCAGCAGCTCGTGCCCGGAGGTGTCATCAACGAGCTGGTCGATTCTTGGCAAGGGAAAGTTGTCCTTTGGACAAGCTTTGTTGAGGTTAGTGAAGTCGATGTAGGTCCGCTATTTATCGTTAGGCTTCTTTACCAGAATCAGGTTGGCAACCCAGCTCGGGTAGAGTGCCTCTGGGATGGATCCATTTAGGAGGAGATTATCTACCTCAACTTTCAAGGCAGCATATCACTCCGGATCCATTGCTCTTCTCTTCTAGCGAACTAGCCTGACCTCACTATCGATATTCAAGGCATGGCATATGATATTCAGGCTGATCCCAACCATGTTGGCATGAGTCCATGCAAACACGTCGATATTTTCCCAAAGGAAGCTAGTCAGGTTACTAGCAAGCTAGGGGTTGAGATTACTTCTTGGCTCGCTCTGGTCGACCATTACTTCAGATAGGTCCTCAACCAGCCCACTGCAAGGGCATTCCTGATACGAGGGTCCATGTTATCCTCAGCTAGGCCAAGCTATGGCTCGATCATACTGATCATCATTGCCTGTTCAGGGATGTCGAGTGGAGTGCCTTTTCACTTGCACGCCATCTACAGTGCCCTTACATAGCAGTTGCGAGATGCGTGTTGAGATCCGCTTACTTCTACTATCCCCGTCGGAGTGGGGAACTTTATCTTTAGATGGTAGATCGAGGTGACTGCTTTGAAGCTTCATAGTAAAGGTTGTCCCAAGATGCCATTGAAAGTAGATAGACAGTCCACTACTAGGAACTCAATCATTTTGGTCATTTCGTCGGTATCACCGAACGTGACCGAGAGTGAGATCGTCTCCTTGGGAATCAGATGATCCCCGGTGAAACCATGCAGAGGGATGGAGGTAGGCTTTAGATCAGTCTCATCCAGTTTCATCCTTTCAAAAGCTTGTTGGAACAAGATGTTCACGGCGCTTCCATTGTCCACCAACATTCTGTGGACCTCACACCGCCATATTTCAAGCATGATGACGAAAGCATCATCGTGGGGATGATGCAATCGTACCGCGTCTTTCTTAGAGAAGGTGATTTCCTCCTCTTTGCGAACCTTTGCTGGTCGTGACGTCTTACACATCACACTTATGGGGTCATGACGGGCTATGCGGACATACCTTTCATGGGCACCTCGTGAATTCCCTACGAGATGTGGCCCCCTAAAGATGATCCCTACATTGTAAAGACCTTTGCAACCACGACGCTTCTTTCTCGGTTCCTCCTGATTTTTCTCCCAAATGGGAGCAAAGTCATCGACGTACTCTTTGAAGTTCCCCTGCTTAATGAGGTCCTTAATTGCTTGCTTGAGGGCCCGACACTCATCAGTGTGGTGCTCATTATCCCTATGATAGCGATAGTGCTTTTTATTGTTTCTGGCTGAAGAGAGATTTTTCATGGGCTCGAGCTCTCCGAGCAAACCGGCCTGCTCTGACTTATCCAGAATAGCCAATACTGAGGCATTCAAAGGGGTGTATTGACTCTTGTCACGATCGCGACGATGAACTGGGGCGTAGGATTTCTAGGGCTCGTATCGCTGCTTCTTTCCTTTTTGTTGATCGTCATTAGCCTATCTGCGATCAGCTCTCCTATTCTCCCCTCGATCTGGAGCACAACTCGAAGGACCGGGGTCATGGCGGTTGAGCGTAGCCATAGAGTTTTCAATGCGGAGGTACTTTTCGGTAAGGTTGTAGAAGCGGGTGAGGGAAACATCGTCCTCAGATTGCAGCTCCTTCCACAAATCCGTCTGTGGGTGAACTCCCGTGATAGTGAGAGTCCGAAAGGACTCTTAGGGAGTGTGAGCTACCTTGTGGAGCTCCCTATGGAACCTGTCAATATAAGATTTGAGGGGCCCATCCCTCTCTTGCCTTATG